TTCCCTCATGAACCCTTGATAATTTATAAATTATTATTTTGTCATATCTTATACTGTCCGGCATCTCCCTTCACCCACATTTCTGTTGTCCATCCCCTAGGGAGGAGATTATATATAGATCCTTGTATAGTATCTTTTGCATTGTAGATATTGTTACTTAAATAGATAAAAATGGTTTTCATTATGATTTCTCGATTTTGTGCTATATGTTGGAAGCCCTTATCCATCCAAGATTGTGAAAATATTCTCTGGCACTTTCTTTTCATGCTTTCATGAAGGGGTTAAAAGAATTTGTGGAAAATGGAATTAAAAGATAATGGAACTTTTCCACAAAGTCTTTGAAGCTCCCTTGTATAGTTTAAAATATGTATTTAAATATTTATTATTCTAACTGGAATTTATTTATACATGTTATTAACTATGGATGACACTGTATTTTTTTCCAAATGATTTGCCATTTTCTCAACAAAGTCACTCAAAGTGCTCAATTTTAAATTCTTATATGTATGGGTATGCATCTGAACTTACTGTGCCCTGTTCTTTTGATCAGTTTCATTTATTCTTATGCCAGAACTGCAGTGTTTTAATTACTGGTGCTTTATAAAAACTTTTAATACCTATGAGTATTAGCCTGATGCGGAAATTGAAGAATTCTACCAACACCTTCAATTGGAAATTGATCCAATCTGCAATCAAGATGCATCGATAATTATTAGCAATTGAAATGCAAACGTTGGCAACAGGAAAGAATAGCTGGAAAATATGGTCTTGGTTCTAGAAACAAAGCTGGAAATTGCAGGACAGAATTTTGAATGCTACATAACAAATACCTTTGTTCAACAACATAAAAGATGACTATACATGTGAATTTCTCCAGATGGAATGCACAGAAACTACATCTGTGGGAGGAGACCATAGAGAAACTCAATATCGGCAGCTAAAACCAGGCCAGGGAACGAATGTGGAACAGACCATCAATTGCTCGTATGTCAGTGCAGGTTGAAGTTGAAGTAAATGAAAACAAGTCCATGAGAGCCAAAATGTGGCCCTGGAGATAGCCCACATGAATTTTGAGAACACTCAAGAATAGAGTTGATTCACTAAACACTAATGACTGAAGACTGATGAGCTGTGAGAGGACATCATGAACATTATACGTGAGCAAAGCAAAGCATCCTTAAAAAGACAGGAAAGAAAGGAAAGATCCAAGTGGATGTCGGAAGAGACTCTGAAACTTGCTCTTAATCGTAGAGTAGCTAAGACAGATGGAAGAAATGATGAAGTCAAAGGCTGAACAGAAAATTTTTGAGGGCAGCTCAAGAATACGAAAGTATTATAATGAGATGTGTAAAGACCTAGATTTAGAAAACTGAAAATGAAGAATACATTCAGCATATCTTAAATTGAAAAAATTCAAGCCTCAAGTTGCAATATTGACTGTCGTCTCTGGGAAAAATATTTTTAATAAATGGGTTTACATGGATAGCCAATAGTGCCTAAAAGATACTTAATGTTTATTAAGATTGCTGCAGTTCCTGGAGAAGGACATCATGCATGGTAAAGTGGAGGAGCAGCAAAACACAGGAAGGCCGTGGACCAGATGGATTGACACCATGGGCAACAGTGACTTCAAGCCTAAAAACAACTCTGAGGCTGGTGTTCCATTCCGTTCTGCACAGGGTCACTATGGGTCAAAACAGACGCCATGGCACCGAAGAGCAACAACAGCATTGTTGTAAATTGTATTTCAAAATGAATATAAGGGAATGTGTGTCTAGACCCCTGTGACACCAGCAGTCACTTCTGGAAACAGTGCTGCCCATCTCATGTGTCTCCCTACCAGCGTCCCTGGAATGGAGCTAGGCTGGTGAGCCAGGAGCTTATCCTCTTCCATCTCTTTTCAGTCCACCTGGTTGGAGCCCATTTCCCTTCTTAAACCAGACTCTGCCATGGATTCCGACTCATAGCGACCCTACTGAACAAGGTCAAACTGCCCCTGTGGATTTCGTAGGCTGAGGGGAGAAAAAAGCCTCATCTTTCTCCCATGGAGCGGCTGATGGGTTTGAACTGTTTACCTTGCAGTTAGCAGCCCAATGTGTAACCTACTTTACCTCTAGGGCTCCCTTTTAGTCTATAAGACCTTGCGAAAATTAAACCCTATGCACTTTATATTAGAAATCTATTGCGGTGTAACAAGTCCCCACAAAATTTCACTTAAAGCAATAATTGTGTCTGGTCTCACGTGGTTTCTGAGCATCAGGCATCTGGGGCATCGCTGAAATGCTTGACGTGGACTGTCTCACAAGGTTGCAGTCAAGACGCTGGCCAGGCTGCAGTCATCTGCAGGCCCTTTTTCTAAGCTCACTTGCATGACTTGGCAGGAGGCTTCAGTCCCTCACACACGATCTCTTCTTAGGACTTCTCATAATGTGGTAGCTGGCTTCCCCCAAAGCAGCGGTCTGAGAGAGACCAAGAAGGAGACCTCAGTGCCAGCCTCATCTGAGAAGGGACACACCTTCTCTTCTGATGAATTCTTTGATGTCGCAGACCTACTTGGGTATAGTATGAGAGGAGATAAGATGGGGTGTCAAGACCATGGGGTAGAGATTCTTGGGGACCATCTTGGAGATTGGCTACCATAGCCTTCATTGACAAACCTCACAAGTTTGTTCTTTTCTAAGTTCTAACATGTTCAAAATGTTAAAATTAGGAACAAAAAGTTCTCCTAGTTCAGCAGTTCTCAACCTATGGGTCGCGACCCCCTTGGGGGGTCAACCCTTTCTCAGGGGTCGCCCGATTCATAACAGTAGCAAAATGGCAGTGATGAAGTTGCAACAAAAATAATGTTATGGCCGAGGGTCACCACCACATGAGGACCTGTCTGAAAGGGTCACGGCATTAGGAAGGTTGAGAGAACCACTCCTAGTTACTCAATTCCCTTCTAGCCCCCTTTGACCAGGTACTATATTTTATATCCTGACAAGGAAATGCATGCATTTTTGTTTTTAACACAAATGATAACATGCCTCACACCCCATTTTGCCCCTTGCTTTTTCCATTTAATATCATAGCTTAGCTGTAGTACCAAATTGGTACATTTCCAGATCTTTTATCTTATTTCATTCGGTGAAACAAATGATTTACTTATCCAGTTCCCTGTTTGTTGGCTGCTCTTATCTCTTGCTATTCCATAGGGTGCTGAAGGAGATCAAGCCCCATGGGAGCCAGTGAAAGTGGTTGCATTTGCTGCGTCAGTTTATAACCTTTGCCCGTTTGGCTATTTTTTCCCCCTGCTGATTTGTGGGAACTCATTATTAGGACTTTGCCTGTTTTTTTTTTTCTTTTTTTAAGGAGAGTGGTTTTATATTTTAAATTTATTTTTATATGTAGCTATTTAAATGTTTAAAAATTATCTTGAAGTAATATCAAACTTAGAAAAGGTTTCCAGCGAATTATGAGAATATGAATAAGTATGAATGCTTCCTTGAATACGTTAGTGTGTATGTCCCTCAGAGATAGACATTCTGTACTTAATTCTGTATAATCACAAAGTTGTTGCTAGTTGCTGTCACATCGACTGTGCATAACTCAATGGAACACCTGTGCCACAATCTATGATTACTGGTATGTCTGAGTCCACAGTTGTGACCATTTTGTCATACCTTTCAACACTATCCCAAGATTCTGCTGTGATACATAAGGTATTCATTCATTAAGTTTTGGAAGTATGGTGCCAGACCTTTCTTCCTACTCTGTCTCAGTCTGGAAGCTCTACCGAAACCTGCCCATCACAGATGACCCTGCTAGTCTATGAAAGACTCGTGGAGTAGCTTCCGGCATCATAGCAACGTGCCACCCACCACTGAAAAGCAGACTGACAGATAAGAATTAAGTGATTAGAACGTATTCACGATAAAGCCTGTAACCCGTGTCCTTTGTCTTTGGGTTGATTCTGATTCATAACAACCCCATAGGTAGAGTAGAATTACCCTGAGGGTTTCAAAGGTTTCTCCACTGTGGTGGTGCAGCTGGCTGCGAACCGGAAGGCTGGTGTTTAAATCCATAAGTGGCTATGCTGGTGAAATATGTGGCAGCCTGCATCTGTAAAAGTTGGAAACCCCATAGGGCAGTTCTACTCTGTGCTATAGGGTCACTGTGGGTTGGAATCGACTCAACAGCCATAGGTTTGGTTTGGTTTAATCTTGAAGGAAATGGATTGGCGCATCTTTCTCCTGCAGAGTGGCCGGTGGGTGTGAAGTGCCAATCTTTTGGCTAGCCGCCCAGCACTTAGCCACCGGGCCACCAGGAGCTTTCATAATCACAGTACCACCTTCTAAAGCAGGAACTTGGGATCAGTGGTTGCAAGATCAGGCCCAGCAGTCTGTCTACCCCTTTGACCCTAGAGGAGAAGGGCCCCCACTGAAGTTAGGCTGCTTGGGTTCACGTTCCAGCACTGCCACCTGCTATCTGTGGTCTTTGGGTGAGTCACCCACCCACCTGGGCCTCAGTTTCCTCACCTCAAAGGGTAGAATTGTAATACATACTTCATAAATTGGTGTGAGATTAGATGAGTTGCTTAGAATAGTGATTGTTACCATGTAAAAGCTTCATCACAGAAGCTATTATATTATTTGAGGAAGGGTAGTTGGCAACAGGTTACATTTTATAATATTTTAATAGCCATAGATGATGCTATTGATCATCACAGATTACAATGGCAACAAGCGAGAGCCAATCCATTGCTGCCGAGTGGATTCAGACTCTTGGAGAGGCCTTGGGCTGCAGAGTGGAACCGCTCGCTCTATAGGCTCTTCTTGACGGGAGTCTTTATGGGAGCTGATCTCCAGGCCTTTCTGTGGCGCCACTGGCTGGCTTGGGACCCCAGTGCTTAGGAGAGAAGCTGAGAGCACACTGCTTGTACCACCGAAGGACGTTTGCCCCTCAACATAGCTATAAGTATTCAAATAACCCAGGATGTCTTTTTGTCCTCCTCTTTTTAGGTTTCAGAATGACTACCTTGTTGACTTACACTTTGAAAAACCTTCCTAACCTATCCAAATGGGCCCTCAGATTTTGTAAGTTTGCACATTCCTTTCTTTTTTGAGATTATATTTGGAGTTAGAAGCATCTTACATACATGTCTGACTTGTCTCTAAGCCTGTGTGTTTTGTTTTCCAGCTATAAGACCACTGAGCTGCTCTTCCCAGCTTCAAACCGCACAAGGTACAGTCACTTTGTAAAATAAACATTTCCGATTTAAATGTCAGATTCTGGATTCTGCATTCATGTTTTATAAATAAAAAGCAAGCCTCATTTATGCTTCCCGCCCCTGCTTTATGTGAGAGGCATGAGTGATGCTATTGCCTTTAACTTTAAAATAGACAATGGGCATACAGCTTGGTGTGGGTGGCATTGGGCTCCAAAGTGCTGACAGGAGGCTGCTTCCCGGGATTTGAGGCTTTCTATCAGATAAACACTTAGTACTTGTTCTCTTTGCCTAGGTTCCATGCTTACTATAACGCCTGCTTTCTGGTTCACTGTAGTATTTGTACTTGGATAATAACTTAATGAAAAAAGATGGCTCTCTTCCAGATTTGCCTCCCTCTGGGTAACGTGGCCACAAACTGGTCACTGTACTTTCCTGTGCTGTAGTGTCTAAGAGAAAAAATGGAGTGGTGAAGATCAGAAGCACTTTGGAAGCTATAAACTTGATGGACATTCATACAGTGAAATTTGCAAATGCTAGTGTTTGTGTTAGATGGAAATTTACCAAAGAAGAAAAATGCAAATATTTCTTACTAAATAGAGTGACACACAAGTGGTGACTATACCCTGTCAAAGGTGAAAACTTGTGAGATCCAGAAAAGCAAGCTCCAGCCCCAGTTCCTGCTCTCTCAGGAATTCCCTGAATACTCTCAGAAGGCGGCTTAAGCCTGACTTGAAATGTTTCATGTAACAAATCTATTTCCTGCAGCCTCTCAATTCTCATCAGAATGTAGAATTTTAATAGCCTGACAGAGAAGAATTCCCTTCTGTCTCACTTCACCTTTCCCCTGATTCTAATGCTTGCCCAGGCCTTGGCTTTTGCACACAAGCAGGCCTGCTCCTTGCCAACTGGGAGAAGGTCACACTGAATGACTGAATAACTGAATACCAATAGAGGGGAAGCATTGATCTGGCATTAGAGGATCCTCCTTTGTAGGGCTCTTGACTCTTTTATACGTTTCTTCTCCCAAATTAGATGGCAAACTTCTAAGAGTCTTAAGCCTTTCTGTATCCCCAGTGTTCCACACAGTGCCCGGCACATACTTTGTTCTAAAACTGATGGTGATAGTGGGGCAGAGAGGCACAAGAAATGTGACTGATCCACTGGCTGACTGCC